GCTCAGTGCTCCCCAGCAGGAGCCTCCTGCCTTTGCTGAAACCCCATTTCTCATTGGGCCCAGGACCGCTGCCGCCCCAGGTTGCGATCCTGCCCCCAACTTTACCTGTCTGCAGTCAGGTCAGTCCCTGCAGCTGGCTCTTAAAAAGGGGGAGGGAGGCGATATTTGCCGCATCTTTCCTGTGTGACTTTCGAAAACCAGTCCATCTCCCCCAGCCTCAATTTCCTCATCTAAAAGGTGGGCTGTGTCTTAACTGGAATTCTCTGTTGTAAACAAACAAACAAAAAATAAAAAACAGAAACTTAATACGTTTCCTATCGCTGCTGTAACACATTGGTGGCTGAACACATCAAAGATTTATTACCTGACAGTTCTGGAGGTCAAGGTGTTGGCAGGAATGTGCTCCTTCTGAAAGCTCTCAGGGAGGATCTGTTTTCCTGCCTCTTGAGGCTTCTAGAGGCTGTCTGCTTTCCTTGGCTCCCGGCCCCTTCCTGCATCATCAAAGCCAGCAGCCTAGCATGGAACATCTTCCGATACCCGCCTCCCTTCCCCTCTCCCCCATCACCCTCCCAACTCCTCTTCCCCTCCCCTCTCCCTCTGCTTCCTCTTAGCACCTCTCCTCTCACTGGCTCTCCCGCCTCCCTCTGGTAAGGACCTTTGTGACCACATTGGACCCTCCCAGATAATTTGGGATAATCTCCCATTTCAGGATCCTTAACTAAATCACACCTGCACAGTCCTTTTACCATGTAAAGTAACATATTCACAGGGATTATTCCAGAGATTCCAGTAACATATTCCAGGGATTCCCACTTGGACATCTCAGGGACCATTCATGGTTCCTACCCCATAAACCACCTTGAGCTAGCTTTGCTGTGGAGAGATTTCTATTAAAGTTTACACAGCTGCTCATAGAACCCACTTTGGGTGTTTGATACATAAGAGAGTCTCAATAAATGAATGTTGAGTAAAAGAATGACTGAATGAATAAAATAATTATAAATGAAGTAAGTAATAAAAGAATTAGTGAACCTAAAGGCAGAGACCCAGCCAGTTCTGAGGACCAGACTAGACCAGAGACTGAAGAAGCTATACGGGCCCCTCCTTCTGTCACTGCTGCTCTGCTCTGCACTCAGCCTTTGGCTGTCCTCACACACAGCTCTCTGCACCTCTCTGGTCCGGGGGCAGGTGCAAGTGAGATGGTCACCTCACTCCTCCGAGTGTGGTAAAACAAACCAACCAGTCAGTGTCTGTCTGTCTGTTTCTTGCTCGCTCTCTCCCTGGCCTCCTAACACCAAATTCCCAATGACTGGCTCAGGTTAGAACAGGTGTCCACTCTGGTCTAATCAGCTGTGGTTTGGGGTCAGGTTCACATGGCACAAAATGGCTGCTGGGGCCCAGCTGTCACTGTCATCCCAGATGGGTTGGGGAATGTCCTCTGTAGCCTGATAAGGCCTCCACCCAACAGTGGTGAGTGCTCTGCGCGCCCTGGTGCAGAGGCAGAACTTGGCAGAGGGGACAGGTCTCCCCTCTATTCCCACTTTCTCCCACTTTCCCCCCTGCAGGCCGCAGAGGAGCGCCTGAAGAAGGAAGCCAGCCACAGCCTGCAGATCCAGCACCAGGCGCACCGGCTGGAGCTCCAGGCCCTGGAAGAAAAGGCCCGGCAGGAGCTCCAGGGAGAGCGGGAGAGGACACAGGCTCAGCAGGCTCTCGTGTTAGGTAAAGAGCCAGCCAGCCGCCCCTGGGAGGGCCTGGCTACCCCGCCGAGTTCACGCCTGGACACCTGGGGCAAGACGGGGCCCGGGGGTCTGTGGGCACACAGGTCAGGGTGGGACACCGGGGTTGGGAGGCGGGTGTCACTAACAGTCTGTTTCCTTTTCTGGAAAGTGGAGTCACAGTTGTCCCTACCTCATAGGGGCGTTGTGTGGACTTGAAGAGAGATTAAATATAAAGTGCCCAGCATATGACAGGAGCCCAGTGAATGCGGACTGTAGTGTAGGTTTTCTGCTATCCCCAAGCAGAGCGTTCCTATGAAACGTGTCATGAGCCGAAATGGCAAAGAGCGAAGAAGCAATTACCATTAATTTAAATGGAAGAAATTTTGAGCGTTCCCAGTCCCCCCAAATCACCTCTCTGAGGCTTTCCTCATACCGTAGGACACATCTTGCTAACGGATGAACACAATAGATGGAGAAACAGCCCAGATGCTCACAGACACCGCTTGGAGCCCCGGTGCTTGGGCCTGAGATGCTGGGTGTGGTTCCCGCGGAAGGCGCTGGGGGGCGCGCGCTGCCTCTGGACCTCTCGCTGCAAAATCAGCAGTGAACGCTGTTGTCGCTTTTCACTTTGTTATATAAAAATTAAAATCCTCTTCAGATTTCTCTGGGTTAGTGAAAATAGGTTCTAATGTAGGTGAACTTTTTTTTAAGTTTTAAAAAAATTTTTAACGTTTATTTTTGAGAGACAGAGACAGAGCACGAACGGGGGAGGGGCAGAGAGAGAGAGAGAGGGAGGTGCAGAATCCTAAGCAGGCTCCAGGCTCTGAGCGGTCAGCACAGATCCTGATGCGGGGCATGAACTCACAAACTGTGAGATCATGACCTGAGCTGAAGTCGGATGCTTAACCGACTGAGCCAACCAGGCGTCCCTGTAAGTGAACTTTTGAAAAGTAGAGGCACCTGTATTATCACCATCATCATTATTATTAAATATAACCAGATCGCTGAGCCTTCATGAGAGTTTCATGGGATTGTCTCAACCTCTCATTTCCGTTCGGAAGATTCCTGAAAATCTGGGCAACTTACACCTCCAGACTCCTGTAGTTAACTCTGCTTCCTTTGCCTGCGCGGCCCCCCATGATCCTCAGCATGAAACTCACCTCCTCTTTCCACATCCAAAACCAGTCACACAAAGCATTCTGGAAGTTACCAGAAGCAGTAAAGATCTCCTGAGTCAAATCGTCTGGACTTGAAGCCCAGTTCCAACACTCACTAGTTGTGTGACTTTAGGCAAGTTACTTACCTACGCTGTGCCTCAGTTACTCATCTGTAAAATGGGAATAACAGCATCCACCTAGTGTGCTACACAGATGTGGCTGACCCTAGAAACTTCTGTTTTTGTAGATCAACTTTTCCCTCATTTTCTCATCTTCCTTCTTTTTTAGAAAATATTTTATTTATTTATTTTTTAAACTTTTCTAAGCTTTGAGGTTACAGGGGAGTCTCAGCCCCTTTAAATATGCCCTAGAAGAAGCTACTCTTTTTTTTTTTTCAACGTTTATTTATTTTTGGGACAGAGAGAGACAGAGCATGAACGGGGGAGGGGCAGAGAGAGAGGGAGACACAGAATCGGAAACAGGCTCCAGGCTCCGAGCCACCAGCCCAGAGCCCGACGCGGGGCTCGAACTCATGGACCGCGAGATCGTGACCTGGCTGAAGTCGGACGCTTAACCGACTGCGCCACCCAGGCGCCCCTAGAAAATATTTTAATTGTATTTATTTATTTTGGGACAGACAGAGAGTGGGGGGGGAGGGGCAGAGAGAGAGGGAGAGAGAGAATCCCACGCAGGCTCCGCACTGTCAGCACAGAGCCTGATGCAGGGCTTGAACTCTTGAACCGTGAGATCAAGGCCTGAGCAGAAACCAAGAGTCAGATGCTTAACTGAGCCACCCAGGCGCCCGCCTTTCTCACTCTTAGGAGCAAGACAAATGCCTCCCCTTATTTCATGCCTAGCATTAAAGATCATATTGGCCTTACTAAATATTTCTTTTCACACCCAGACGGGGGTCTCCTTAAGAGAATTTGGGAGAAGAGCATTTTCTTTACCTGTGTAAGTGAATAAGATCTACCTGCTGCTTGGGTGAGCTTTCATTAGGCAGCATGTCCCGCTGACTGCACGTCAGCACATCCGCTCTATTTCTGGAGGAAGTGACGCGGAAGCAGGCAGGAGAGAGAGAGAGAGAGAGAGAGAGAGATTCCCCAGTTAGTGTCCAGGTGGGATGTGCTAAAGTTAGCAGCATCTAAAAGAGGCAGATTACACAAGATAAGGCCCAGGGTGTACCATATGTCTCAGGTACACGACAAAATTCAGATCCAGTTGGACACCCCTGGTGATTCCAGCACCCAACAGCAGCTGTCCCTGCTGCCTGTCCCGCGGCCCCTCTGATCCCACAATAGCCTGGTCCTTTCCTGGACAAAAGAGTCAGGAGAGACCCTGGGTACATGCTGGGATTCTCAACACAATCCCAGGAGAAGGGGTGAGTGGACTCTATAACAATGAGAGCGAATCACTGGCTTTACGAGTGGTATTGGGTGGGTGAGAGCACCTGCCACAACAGGGGGTTATTAGACATTCCTGGTCCCGATTAGCTACTGCACTGTCTGTATGAGACACACCTGACCTGCTGGTCAGCGTGTGAGGCGCAGGGAGTGTCCATCAGATTACCTGATACACTGGGGTGGAGACCCAGACATGCTGGACGGACAGGTGGATGGGTGTGGAGGGAGGGAGGGAGGGAGAAGGAGGCCAGGGGAGAGAGTGGGTACTAAATGAGCCCACTGTAGTTATGCTTTGCTAAAGAGTCTTATTGCACATATTTTTGTGATAAGGGATTTCAAAATATTGCATTGGGTGTGGATTTTTTAAAGAAAATAAGCTGTAGAAATCACTATATTAAAATCCTAGTGGGGAAGAAAGATGATCAAGTAAAATTTTCAACATATCATCAGAATAACTAAGCTTTGCTGTGTTTGATATACTCTAACTTTCAGAGAAGTAAGTTTATGGGAAGTGTTTTGCAATGGATATGCTTTTACACTGTCATTAATTTCCACTCTAAACATCACTTGGTTATTTAACAAATGTGTGTGGAGTATTTGCCCTGTACTATCTTATGGCTATCTTACGGCTTACGGAATTATTGGAACGACGTTTCCAAAGTTAATTTGCAATAACTAAAATACAGAGTCTCGAAAGTCCGTAACAGGAAAGTATCAAACTTACTAGCCTTGAAAATCATCTTCTCTCGGGGCGCCTGGGTGGCGCAGGCGGTTAAGCGTCCGACTTCAGCCAGGTCACGATCTCACGGTCCGTGAGTTCGAGCCCCGCGTCGGGCTCTGGGCTGATGGCTCGGAGCCTGGAGCCTGTTTCCGATTCTGTGTCTCCCTCTCTCTCTGCCCCTCGCCCGTTCATGCTCTGTCTCTCTCTGTCCCAAAAATAAACGTTGAAAAAAAAAAATAAAACATTAAAAAAAAAGAAAATCATCTTCTCTTTAAGAAATGACAGCCCTTCCTTCTGCAGAGTCCCTGAGGCAGGAGCTGTTGGAGCAGCGGGCTGCCTGCTCTGGGCACCAGAAAGACCTGGAGGTGCTGCAGGCCGAGCTGAGGGCTCTGGGCAGCATGGGCAAGTCGCAGGCCACCGCCCAGTGTCCAGGGGACCATGAGGACCGCGCCGTCGCTGCAGAGGTCAGCACCCCCACTCTGCCCACACCGCACCCCTCTGGGAGCAGTGTCCAGGCTGCAGAGAGAAACTCATAAAGGAGGGGCCCCGGGTGCTCCTCGTTCCCGTCTGAAATGGGGAAGAGCCTCGCTCCACGGTGCTGGGAGACACTCGATGGGCTTGTAGGCTCCCGTTTTGAAAAGCAGAACACAAGTTTTTTGTGCTGCGTGTCATTTTTAATGCAGATACAATAGCATTTCAGAGTGTCACTGCCTGAGAGGCCCTGGAGACACTCAGGGTCACTCCCTCAAATCTGCAGAGAATGTCTCAGAACACCTTTCCAGACAGACTCCCTGTCTGCTGCCATGAGTGGGAACTGCCTTTTTGTCACTGAGGTTCAACATTGACTCTCTTTGAGCCTCGTAGTCAGACTTGGCCCATCAACCCCTTCCGGGTACATCCATATTCCCACATGGCTGGCAGTACAGTGACGTCCTAACAGCCCAGGCCTCTCTCCCCACTCAGCCCACCACGTACCATATGGTGTCAGCTATTCATCTGTATAAAGGCTTCAGAGACTCCCTATTGCTATCAGAATGAGCTCCAAATGCCTAAGCCTGGCAAGGAAAAGCCTTCACCCACTGGCTGCACTTTATATCTTCAGTCGTATCCCCTTCTGCTCTCAACGTGGGGTCTGCATCCTGCCTCCGGGCCTTTGCATGTGCCCACTCCCTGCTTGGGATGCCGTCCTCCCTCAGTGCCCAGCTTACCCTCTGTGCCAGTGGTCTCCTCTCCAATTTTAGTATATGTGCCGCCGAAGTCAGCTCTAGGGGGCTCCTCTCCACACCTGGGACCCCACCAGTCTCTGAGTACTTCTGGTTATAGTTCAGCTGGCACTGGTTTCTACCGCATGGCCCTGTTAGGGAGCCAGCATATCATGCGTGTTCTTCATGGATGTTCTCAACTGGATTAGGAGTCTTTCGAGAATCAGCCATGTCTGCCTCATTTCATCCCTGCCCCCACTCAGCACTCTGCCCGAAGTCTGCACATGGGAGAGTCTTCTCCAGGGTTTACGGTGGCCAACAGTGGGTTCATGTCCCAGCCCTGCTGAAGATCCGGGGGACGTGGTCATCGTTTGCTCAGGATTGTGCCAGTACTGAGCACCTGAAGACAATCTGTGTTTAATGAGAAATTTAAATGATGACTCACAAGGAGCTCAGCCCAGTCAGTAAAGTCTAGCAGAGGGAAGACAGAGTGTGCCCCAGTAAGCATTCTAGATTGGTGGGAGCCACCCGTACCTATGGGAGGGGGCAGGAGAAATGTGGGGTCGTGACGTCTGCAATGACAAACTCCCTCCCCAAGTGCTATGGATCCTTGGACGGGTGGGATGACACCCGGCCACCAGGTGCCAGCCTTCACCTTCACCTCATTGGAGGGAAGCCCTGACCCCTCTGGGAGGAATAGCAGGGCCTCAGATGAAAACCCACACAGAGAAGAAAGGTGGGGGCGTGAGCCAGGAGGAAAGCAGCCCTGGGCAGCGCGAGTGAAAGACGGAAGGGAGGGTACCCGGTTCAAGGATGCGTCCTTAAGTTGGCCACCACTGCAGGTAAGTGGTGTCCCACCTGCTGGGATCTTCCGAGGAGCCCTGTGAGATCATCCTCAGACCTGTCCCAGCTTGGGACAGAGGGGGATGCATTTATCCAGCAGGTTCTTTCTCCCATTAGTCAAGCATGGCCCCCCAGGACCTTAACCAAGCTCTTCCTTAACCAAGCTCTTCCATGGCCCCCCAGGACCTTAACCAAGCTCTAACCATGGCCCCCCAGGACCTTAACCAACCAGGTGAGTGCCAGGTCCCCACGTGCCCATGGGTGTCACACACACACAAGCCCCAGGGCAGGAAGCAAGAGGTGTGGGGCATGGGCCACAGATGTTCCCTGTGCAAAGCTGTTCTGTGTGGAATGAACAAACGCAGAAACCTTCAGGCATGTTTGAGTGAACTTGAAAACTGTAACATTCACTAACCAGGGGTTAACTCTGACCCCATTTCATTTGGACATAGATTTTTGAATTTCTATCTGAACCACTGGCGTTCAAGTATCATTTCATTTAGCAAGCATTTATTTGGCCCTTCTGATCCCAGCCCCCGAGCCAGGTGCCATCAGATTGGAAAACTCGAGGGGAGACGGTGCCTTCGGGAAGCCCTCCCAGGCTAGTGGAGGAGACCACCATTAAACAAATGAGCGCACTTCGGTGTAATCGCTCCACAGACGGGATCGGGATTCGGTGATAGCAGAGGAGAGCGGGCTTGTCGCTTCTTCCCCGAGGCAGTGCTGTTGAAGTGGGGAGGGCGCTCTGGGTGGAGTGTTTGGCTTGCCTTGAGTCATGTTCCTGGCTCACCAACGTTATTAGGCTTTGTGAGGGCGGATCTGGCCAACTCGGAAAGCGGGAAAACCTGAAGAGCCTGGATGTGAGCTCCTCAATCGGGAGCAGGAGGCTGGTGAGGGCTCCAGGCTGGGCGGAGCACGGGTCCCCGTCCTTCGGCGGCGCATCTGGGGCCCTTGGCGCCTCCTGAAAACGCCTCTCCCGGGTGCTTCTCCCCAGGACGCGGGCGGCCCGGGCCAGGCGGGCTCCCCGAAGGGCGCCGCGGAGCCGGGTCCGAGCGAGGGCTGCGACCCCTGGGAGGAGAACTCGCAGCTCAAGGACGCAGTGCAGCGGCTGCGGGCTGAGGTGGAACAGCATCAGCAGGAGGCGCTACAGCTCCGCGAGCAGCGCAGGTCGGTCTCCGGGCGGGGCCGGAGCTCCCTTCTCCCTCGCTCCCTCCAGCGCCCCGGGGCGAGCCTCTGAACCTAAGGCTCACCCCCTGGGCTTCTCCGCAAAGGAAAGACTCCCTAACACGCTAGCACTTCCCTGATGTTACTCCCGTCGCATGAAAAGGACCAGTGCTCTAGGAATTCGTCTCAAAACTGCAGGGTTTGCCCTGGGATAGAGGAGGGAACTCTGTTTCCTACAAATCAAAGAATTTCTGGGATCAGACCTTACCGTACTAGAAGTCCCTTCAAAACCAGCCTTAGGGAGGCAGTGCGGTGAAATAGCTCAAGCGGTGCCGTGTGAGCTCAGGCGAGTCCGCTAGCTTCTCCACGCCCCCACCCTCATCCGCGAAGGAGGTAAGACCGCCACCTCTCAGGGCCGTCCTGGAATGCAGTGACATGTGAGCAGGATTTAGCACCTGCCCCGGAATGCATGGAGGAAGCGCTGGGTGAACCGCTGTTACTTTGTTCTGGACATGTGTTAGCATGATTCATCCTTGCACTAACCCTGTAAGGTAGCCACTATCATCACACCCATTTAACAGGTGAAGAAACTGAGCAGGGTGTGGCTTGCCTTAGGTCACACAGCTAGGAAGTGATGGAGGAACACCTACCCCCTATCCCTCCCTGCCTTTCAACACTGGACTGGTGACTCCCCAGGCCTCAGAGTCCCAAGGATCAGTAATTCCGATACACAATCTCAGCCTCCAGGCCTCCATTTGCCCCTCGTGAAGGGAGGATTTTCCAGAACCCTCCAGAGCTGTCCTCCACTGCTTGCCCCTGAAGGCTTCACAGTGTGGTTTCTCCTTCATGGGATGCTGGGACAGGAGGTGCTGAGAAGGGGTCCCACAAGCAGGGTTTATCCTGGACCCCACAACTCAAGAGATCCCAGGTCTCCTTCCCAGCATCCTGACCTCATTCATAACCACCCCCGCCCATTGCCTCCCACCCCAGCCACCCAGCAGAGCGGGGAGAAACCCCAGTGCCCAAGAGGCTCAGTCCCTAGAGCCTGGGCCAGCCCGGCTGTGCTTCCCTCCACCCACAGGCTGCTGGAGGAGGATCAGCAAGCCCAACGGGCCCGGGAGGTGGAGAAGCTACGCCAGGAACACCGGAAGGAGATGCAGGCCATGGTGGCGGATTTCAGCAGTGCACAAGCCAGGCTCCAGGCCCGGCTGGCTGCCCTGGAAACTGAGTAAGTGAGGCCTTGGGCCCCAGGTTAGGAGGGACTTGTAGAGGTACATTTTATTAGGGCGACCAACTCATCCCACTGTGCCTGGGACGCTCCCAGTTTTAAAACTACAAGTTCTGAGTTCCAAGAAGCACCTCGGTCCTGGGCAATTGGGGATAGTTCGTTACCCCCCATCATTTTATGAGATTGCATTCTCTCCGTGCAGGGCACTGGGAATCTGTGAGGAATGAACACTGCCTTATGGGCTTGGTTTGACCCCTCACCCTGGGAAGAAATCACGGGATCAAGTCTACTTTTTAATGAACATTTGCCCCATTCTAACATGCATCACCTCACTGAATCTTCACAGTCTCCTTCATGGACAGATAAAGAAACCGAGGGGGTCTTGTGCCTGTATGCATACATCTTTATTACTTATTCAACAGATGTTTATTAAGAGCCTACTGTGTGCCTGGAGTTACAGCCAGAACTAAACAAAGACCATGCTCTCATAGAGCTCAAAAATTCTCGATGGGAATTCAGGCAAGAAATAAACAGATGAATATTTTTCATATCAGGTATTGGAAGTGCTAAAAGAAAAACAGGATCAGTGTCTAGGGAGTGGCAAGGGTGGGCAAGGAAGGCCTGTCTAAGGAGGTGACATTTAAGCGCAAGGAGGCGAGGGAATGAGAGAGCCGTTTGGAGGAGGAACATTCCAAGTGGACACAACAGCAAGTACAATGGCCCTGGGGCCTGCTTCACATGACTGAACAGCCAGGAATAAGTGAGAGGGTGAGTGGCAGGAATTGAGACTTTGGTGGGCTAGCTGGGAGGGATGAAGGAGACCCGCACTAAACAGGAAGGAGTTTGGATGTGTTCAGGGTGCACTGGAAGCCATTGCAAGGCTTTGAGCAGGAATGACATGGTCAGATTTACCTTTCAATAAGGTCACTCTGGCTGCTGAGAGAAGAGACTAGGGGGTCAGGGTTAGCAGCACGGAGGTGGAAGATGACAGGTAAAGTCACCTGCCCAAGGTCAAGCCGCACTGAGTGAATCTGTTACCTGTCTGTGCTCTTAAAAACATGTTCTCCACTGTCTCCAGTACAAAGCAAACCATCCAGAATCCAGAGTGAAAGGTTTTATCAGCTACCATCTAATGGGCACTTACCACAGGCCAGGCGCGCATTATCTCGCTGAATGCTCACAACCACCCAGTTTCGTGCCCCTTTTAAAGAATAGGGAACTGATGATCACAGGGAAAGGCTACGCAAGGTCACCTAGCCTTTTCCTCAAGGCAGAGTAGGGATTAGATCCCAAGTTATCTCACCCCGAAGTCCCGGCCCTCTTGTCAACTACACTCAGTAGGTCACCTGCAGCCCTCACCCCATCCCCCACCGTGCGCAGTTACTTCTCTCTGGCTTCGTCCTGAAAGGGCTGGGGGAACTAGCTGCCCGCAGCTCTGAGGGAGAACCAGCTCATGCCGTGCTCCGTTTCGGCCAGCAGATGGCGCCAGAGCCACGTCGGCATCAGCCCAGACGTCGGGAGGCCGCAGTGGGGACATTTTTCTGTCGAGGCCTCTCTGCCCAGGCATCCCTGGTTCTTGAAGCTTCACTGAGGGCAGTGTGTGCATCACCCACGGGCCTTCGGTTCCTTGGCCCCGCAGCCTAGGGGTAACTGGCAGACGTCAGACTTGGAGTTGGGGTCCCGAGCTCTGCAGCCGACTCACTGGCTGGTCCCAGGCAGGGTCTCTCGGCCTCCATTTCCCCTTTTGTGAACGGAGACATTAGCTGGCCAGGCTAAGCTCACAGCAGCGTCCCCACCCCATGCACCTGCTTGTTGTTGGGCAACGGCAGCAAGGAGACTAACTACATGCCTGTTCCAAACAGACTGAAGGATTCCGGAGAGAAACCAGGGAAGGGGGCGTCCAGGCCAGAGGACGTTCAGCTCATAGGCCGCCTGCAGACCCGCCTGAAGGAGAGAGAGGAGATCATCAAGCAGCTCATGGTGAGGCCGTCAGGGCCACCAGGGGGTCTGCAGGGTTCCTTCCGGAGGGCCATCCACTTTGTTCTTGCCATTGCTCTGCCTACCTAGCAATTTTAATCCTGATAACTCTAAAACCACCTTCAGAAGATCCTTGATTACTTTTGTATATTATCTGAAACAATATATACTCACTAAAAAAATTAATACAGAAAAATAGAGCCCCCACCCCCACCCCCCACCCCCCAAGCACTCAAGTCCTACAGCATCTGCCCATGGTTGATTGGTTCAGTTTTTTCATCTATGGAATTTGGGAAAATCCAGAATGGCATGCCTTCTGTTGGAATTTTAGTAGACTCAGTCAAGCCAGTTATTGTTTGTTGGTCTTCCTTTTGTAAAAATGGCTACCTGTTTTCCAGTTCGCAAAGCCGCCCCGGGGCCCCTTAGGAAGAAGTTTTCTCCCTCGGGGTCTGCAGCCCACAGCCACCAAGGCCTGAGGCCATTTCTTTGGAATGCCCCTCCCTCCACCTGCCCCTGAGCTTTCACGCAGTCCACCTCCCTCACATCCCTGTCTCCTGATACTCCATCCATTGCTTTGGGCTCTAACCCGGCCGCCCCGTGCTCCCCGGTCTGGTGGCAGGTTGCTTGTAGCACCCCAGCTGAACCGGAGGGCGCTGCTTCCCCTGGCTTACGTCCAGCTCTGCAGACGGTGGCTCTCGACTGGCGCCTGTCAGTGCAGCCCACGGTGGGAGGGCTAGTCGGCCACCTGAGAAGTCCAGCCACCTTCCCCACCCGTCTCTGCCTCCACCGCTTTAGTGCAAGCCCCTCTCACACGCGCAGTGAACTGGACTCCCCACTCCCCACTCACTCTAGCCTTGCCCGCACGCTGACCTCACATCAACCAGGGCAGTCTTGGGGAAGCGTGTCAGATGAGAGCTCGGCTCCATTCTGCACCGCTCACGGCCTCCCGTCCTTCCCCGAGTGAAATCCAGGATCTTCGGCAGCCTGCCAGCCTCATGTCCTCCCACAAACACACACCCCTCTCCTCTCTCACTCCCATCCCTGCCCCTGCCACGCAGTTCCATGTCAGGATGCTGATGAGACAGGAAAACTTCACCACTAACTGAAAATTAAATGATACTAAGGAATAGCTTGTTTGCTAGGTGTGACAAGAGAATTGTGCTATTTTTTTTTAAAGAGTCTTTATCTCTTAGAGATAGATGTGGATGTTTTTAAAGATGAAATTATACAATGATTGGAATCTGCTTTAAAAATAATACAGCAGGAGAGAGAAAAGTGGACAGTGACACGCATAAACAAGGTTGGTGATATAGTGATTGTACCAGCTTTTAACCTTCAGATGCCCAGAGTACCTGGTTCTCTAACTGCCCAAGACCTTTCAAATAAGCTCGCCCTTCCCTATACAGAAGCTGGGGACTCAGGCCACAGGACTAAAGTGCTTCCTCAAAGCTTCAGTGGACGGCTGCTGGATCCCCACACATCCTCCCCCTTCCCCTGGGCTTTCCCTCACGGTTTCTGCCCTCACTCCTTCAGGTCAAACCCAGTGGTGTGGTCAGGCTCATTTGGACTCAGTTGTGTTTTTCCAGGAGGAGAGAAGATTTCACTGTGCAGCCTTCCCCAGCGCCATGTCCCATCGGAACCGGTCTTTCTCTTTCAACCCTCACCCAGGATACTTGACCCCCTCCATGAAGGTAAATTGGTTCTGCCGATTTCAGGCATTACAGTGCTGCTGGTTTCATTTTCCTGAAGGTAACTACAGCTTACTTATCGGCGTGCTGGCATACAGTCAGAGGAATGTTCACTGAAAATAAGACTCATGGGGAATGGTCCAAATTATTAACAAACAGTATTTATATCTGGTGAGGCAGATTATGTGTACTTTTAATTTCTTATGGGTTTTTGTATTCTCCGAGTTTCCTATAAACATGTCACTGTTAATAATGGTTATATCTGGATGATGAGAGAAACGAACAGGAATCTCCCACTTTTTAAAAAATGTTTGAGGGGCGCCTGGGTGGCGCAGTCGGTTAAGCATCCGACTTCAGCCAGGTCACGATCTCGCGGTCCGTGAGTTCGAGCCCCGCGTCAGGCTCTGGGCTGATGGCTCGGAGCCTGGAGCCTGTTTCCGATTCTGTGTCTCCCTCTCTCTCTGCCCCTCCCCCGTTCATGCTCTGTCTCTCTCTGTCCCAAAAATAAATAAACGTTGAAAAAAAAAAAAATTTAAAAAATGTTTGAGAGAGAGTGGGAGCGAGTGCAGGAGTAGGGGAGAGGCAGGGAGAGAGAATCCCAAGCAGGCTCTGTGCTGCTGTGCTGTTAGCAAGAGCCTGACACGGGGCTCGACCTCACGAACCATGAGTTCATGACCTGAGCTGAAATCAACAGTTGGATGCTCAACCAACTGAGCCACCCAGGAGCCCCAGGAATCTCCCACTTCCTTTTTTTCATTACATATTTTTGGAATTTGTTATAATGAGAATATTCACATCCAAATCTCTCATCTGCTGTAACAAAATCCTAAAAGTGCTTAAAATGTTTAATAGTTCAAAGGACAGTAAACCTACCCTAAGCTGAACAGATGTGAGTTCATTTATGATTTTTATGTATGCCTCTCAGTGAAACAGTGTTGTTTCACTGCAGAAATATTAATGCATTTGAAGAAAATGGACCCAGCTCCTGTTGGGGGTCTTATATGGCCTTCTAATGTCTAAAAAAAAAAATTTGAATTACCAAACACATGTCCCCAGAGGTTTTGGGCAAGAGATTTTGAACCTGTGTTTCATAAAACAAAGCAGACTGGAGGAAGAAATGCTTTAAAAATAACATGTAGGTATATATATAAAATGACTGCCTCTTCTCCCATATAGTTTTGGTTGGGTGGGCCTTTTTTACTTACAATAATGACTCTTTAGGGTGGAACTAACTGGCCTTTCTTTTAATACAACCAGAAAAAGAAGCTGGAGGAAGTGCCCAGCCGAGTGGTCAGCGTGCCAAACCTGGCCTCCTACGCAAAGAACTTTCTGAGTGGTGATCTGAGCTCCAGGATCAACGCCCCTCCAATAACGAAGTCACCCAGCTTGGACCCAAGCCCTGGCTGTGGCCAGCCTTACAAACCCACCCAGGCTCTAGATGTGAAAACTGCCACAAGGTAGGGGGCGGGGTGGGGAGTTGTTGATTCCAGTTTTCCATAGATAGGGGGGAATTCAGATTCCTTTCTGGCACCTCTTCAATACCCAGACTGTGGGCAGGTAAAAAGGACAGGGAGACAAGCCCCCTCCCTGCCTGTGACAAATTACAATCCAGCCAAATGGGAAGGTGGTGTAAGAGGAAGGAAGTATGTCATTCTTTAGACAAGTACTATTCTTGGTACCAAGTTCCAGAAAGTCTTTTTTTTTTCCTCTCGTGGATGATTAGATCACTTAGCTAGCCGTGTCAGTGTGGGTAACACAGAAGATGGACTCTAATCACCTGGCCCTGAGGTCTGGACTCAAATTCTGGTCTCTTGTTCTTACCTAGGTGACTTTGGGCAGGTTACTTGACCTCTCTAGGTCTCCATTTCCTCACCTCTAAATCAAAGATAATACAGCACCTGCCTCACCAGACTGTGAGACTGAAGGAATTAATCCACAGGACGCAGTTAGCACAGAACCTGGTACAGAAGCATTCAGTCGATTTCCACTATTATTACTGCCACTACTATTATTATTAAGGTTATTTCTCAAGATTTATTGTATCATCTTGAGATTTTAAGGCCTCTTAATCTGGGTTGGTAGCTCATGCATGATCAATCATCTCAGATACCACCTTATTTTTCCAGAAACCCTTGCAACATGTTTCTCTTTCACAATCATTTCCCCGTTTATTAATTCTCCCTCCTATCCAGTCTTCTTTTCAGAGGCAGAACTTGACATTCTGTGCTTTGAATTTTGCATTTCAGAAATGGCTCCTCCTAAAATGTTCTTTTTTCAGGGATGCCTGGGCGGCTCAGGTGGTTAAGCATCTGACTCTTGATTTTGACTCAGGTCATGATCTCACAGTCGTGGGATTGGGCTCCAAGCTGTCATCTTGGGATTTTCTCTCTCTCTCTCTCTGTCTGCCCCCCGCCCCCCACCCCCACTCGCACTTGTCCTTTCTCAAAATATAATAATAAAAATAAAGTGTTCTTTTTCCAAAGGCCCTGCATACCTGCGGCTATTGGGAAAAATGGGAGGCAGAGACCTTTATAAATGTTCAGTGGTAAGGACCTCCTGTCAGTCAATGAAGGAGGCCAGCCCTTTTGTTTCAAAGCTGCAGAAACTGAGGCCTGGAGCCCTAAGCACACCCCTGTATTAACGGCTAGAGCCAGCTCCTGACTCTGGCTGTGGGTTCATCTCAGTATCATACACCTGTGAATAAGCTAGGTTCCCAGTTTTATATGAAGCTTCACAAATGCAGACAGAGACCAGTCAGCAGGTATACATCGTACTTTCTTGCTTACTGTTTCCTCTTTTCAATTTATTAGGCTAATGTCACAGTCTTATTGAGGTGCGAACACATTAGATAACTTCTGAAGAAGCCAGACATTATAAGGCTGTGTTGATTAACTGTTTCATTCCTTACCTTTTTTATGAGGTTTAGTGTTCAATTTGTGCCTGAAATATAAGTTTATACAATATGCTCATTAGTCTTAAGTAAAACAGTGGAGAACCTCATTTTCAAAACAGGAATTAGATGTTCCCTTCCCACCCCATCTTTCACACCTTGTTTCTAGCCATGAGTGTTGGCCAGTTATACTCATGGTCTTTCAAAGAGTAAAGCAACAGCTTTACTCCCTGAAAGATAGTGGGGTATTAAGTTGTTTACTGAATAATTTTCAAAGCCATCTAAAACAGTCTTTTTGTTTGTTGGTTTGTTTTTAGGACACAAGATGGTGAAACAGCCCAACCCAAAGAAGTCCAGCAGAAACAGGGCTCTGCCCACCAGGAATGGTTTACCAAGTATTTCTCTTTCTAAACTGAGTCTCAGGATTCCATCACCAAGAGGACACCTGAAATGTAAAGCATCTGACTGAAGGAATGAACTAAAAAACCAAATTAACTTGCTTGTGACATGATTTATATATAATAGCCAAAACAAATTTTGGCATTAACATTTCATACTGTTTCATTGTGAAACCAGTGCTTAAACAAAATTCTTGACATTAAGGTGAAAAACAAAACAACATAAACCAGTGTTATCAAAATGCACCCACAGAAAATATTAATGTTACTGATGACCCTCACATTGTATTTCTAGTGTCCATAAGATTTCATTCCACTTTGTGGAATATCAAGCTTTGTGATTTCCATGATCTACTTTAAAAGTGGTTTCACTTGTCCTTAGAATGCTAGTCATCTCCACCTGAAAAGTATTTCTGTGTAAATGACAGAATTACAAAATGCACATTCAACCTCACTAGGAAGAAGAATAAAAGTTCGAAATACTCATGAAAACCAATTACAAACACAAAACAAGGCAAAACTAGGAGTGGATGACAGCAGCCCTTGGCACACTTCGCCTGAGTGCTCTGACTTCCTAAGTCCAGGACCTGAAGTAGACGAGAGAGGGGATAACACCTACCTCAAAAGGGTTTTGGAGAAGTAAGCAAAATAGGATAGGTATGATACCAATCACGAGCTGGAATTAACCACTGCCAGAATTTTTCTGTGAATAACCAAGCCTCACTCTGTCATATGACTGTAGTTTCAACTTGGTCACTTGTGAAAGTTTCTAGAGTATTCTTTGAAGTCAAAGATCTACTGAGCCCAGTCTTTGGGCCTGGGCCCTTTGCCTCATGGTGCATTGCTTCCCCATCACATGGATGCTCAGTACTGTAAGGGAATCAGGACTGGCCATTCATGGTGCTGACCCATGTCAGTCCACACTGAATAGTCTGACCTTCTGATGGAGCAGTGTGATTTGACAAGACTCAATACAATTTGGGCAAAATATGTTCTCAATCCTTTGGTGCTGGCCCCACACGTGGCCATAAACATTTATTCTATGCACTGTCAAATCTTTGCTCTTTGAATAAAACTTTAAACTGGGCAATTAAAAATGGCTGTGACTTGTATTGTTTTCCCAAAGAAAGGTGAAAGTAGATGAAGACAGTTTGGAAATAAGAAATTCACATTAATCTCAATCAGGTCAACTTTAAATGAAAAGTAGCTGCTTACACAATTTTGGGAGAAATGCAATTACAACTCAAATTACAACTGACAATTTAAAGGTAAAATTACTATCTTTTTTAATGTTTTTAAGGTTTATTTGTTTCGAGAGAGTGAGCACACGTGAGAGGGTAAGGGGCAGACAGAGAGGGGAGAGAGTCCCAAGCAGGCTCTGACACACTGTCTCCAGGGCTCAATCCCACCGACTGTGAGTCATGACCTGAGCCGAAATCAAGAGTCGGACACAAAACCAACTGAGCCACCCGGAGGCCCCTAAAGGTAAAATTCCTATCTAATCAAAACACGTGGCCCCAATAAGATAATTTCTTAAATGAAAATACTTGTTACCATACATGTAACATGCCATGTTATTTCTCAGTATCAATTTTTTTTAGTGATCTTGTTTCCTGCTTAGGGTGAGCACTGTAGGATTATGCTTGCATTCTGTGTTTTAAGAACTAAACTAGGGGCGCCTGGGTGGCGCAGTCGGTTAAGCGTCCAACTTCAGCCAGGTCATGATCTCGCAGTCCGTGAGTTCGAGCCCCGCGTCGGGCTCTGGGCTGATGGCTCGGAGCCTGGAGCCTGTTTCCGATTCTGTGTCTCCCTCTCTCTCTGCCCCTCGCCCGTTCATGCTCTGTCTCTCTCTGTCCCAAAAATAAATAAACGTTGAAAAAAAAAATAAAAAAAAAAAAAAGAACTAAACTAGTTTTGTGTTTTAAAAACTAAACTACATACAGATAGTTATACTGTTTATCGAAACATTCTTCCAACACTGCAACTACTGATGACTAGCAACGTAGGCTGCGCTTTAACTCAGCATGACACCTGCTGCAGGGACAGAATTTTATTGAGACTCTACATCTGTTTGATTTCTTTCTTGTTGCAGGTGAGTGAAAGATTCTGTTAAATTTCTAGATTCCACACTGCAATAATTGTATCTGTTAACTAAATCTGAGCATGCTTCTATCATTTATTTCCTTAGGACACATTCCTTGGGTATCTAAATAAAGCATCAAAGGATACATGCTTAAGCTTTTTGATATAGCAGAATTATCATCCAGAAAGTTTCTCTCAAGGTTCCACCTTCACCACAGTGAATAAAATCCTCTCTGTACCCTAGATAATACTGACAAAGAAACTCAATTTGATAGATAAAACATTCTTCTGGTTTTTGTGTATATAATCAGATTCCATCAATCTCTCAAGAGTGAGCGGTCCAGACGTGACAGTGATGGCTTGGGGAAAACAGTGCAGATGAAGAGAAATGAACTGATTCAGGATTGAGTCAGGAGGGAGAAACAGCAAGATTTGGTGATAAATCTTGTTAGGCTCTTTTAGGACAGAAGGAGAGGCTAACATACGGCTGGAGCAAAACTGGAAAGGAAGATTGCTGTAAAGTGTTTCTTAATTAGGGTAGAAAAGACTGAACTCGCTCAAGAAATGGCTGCATATTGTGTACCTGAACCCTTATTAGCTGCTCTAGCATTGATGTAACATCCAACACAGTAGTTGTGAGTGAGGCTACTTGGTCTATAGTCTCTCCAGGATCCATCTGGATTCTGCAAGGGCGACGTTAGGAAATTAAATGGAGCTGTGATAGGGAGCCGTCCCTGCATTCTTCAGATTTCTTAGGTAGGGCTAATCTCCACCATCACCCCTGGGGATGCAATACTATTTTTGATCTACTCCCTCCTGCTAGTTCCTCAGCTGTCTCCCCTCACCCTACAGGTGATAATCAAAGATGCCCCAGGCACTCAGAGTGGCTGTTGACTGTTAAGTCCCGTTAGTCATTATCCCTCCATGGGGAGTCAAGACAGTGAGGTGCTAACCAGCCAACTCCACTGTTCTTGTACACAGTATGCCCCCTTACCTTCCAATGTTTGGTCCTTGTACTGACAATGTTCCCTTCCACTGGGATGTCTCCCTGTGGCACCTCTGGTGGAATCTTCAGCAAGTGGGCCACTGGCAACTACACCGCCATGGGTCTTTCTTGCCAATTGGGACAGTGCACGAGCCAGTCCCCAGGCCCCATCCTACTGCCTGCTCTCAGACCACGTCCACTAACAGCCATGTCAGTCAGGTCCTCCAGGAGCTATCTCCCAAGACACAATTAGAATTAGAAGACATTTATTGGGAATTTCAATGGCCCTCAGCCAAGGACCACCAGAAACACATCTGCAGGGAACAAGTTAGGTTTATTACTTGTTGCAATAGGGAGAATGCTCATTGCGGAGATGGTAGGGCTTCTCAGAAAGAGGGTGTTAGAACCTATTTCAGAATTCTGGCTTTGGTGAGTGATTTCAGACAGCCTAAGGATGCAAGGGTGCACTCTAGATTGGATGCTGTAAACAAGTCGGGGCAATTCTATGACTGGGTGCCTGAAAGAAAATTTTATTTGTTCGGAGCACAGACTAGAGTGAAGATAAAGCTGAAAATAGTTAAAAAAAAAAAAAAAAAAAAAAAAAAAAAAAAAAAAAAGGCAGTTACTCACTTCAGTCAGAAGAATGTTTGGTGGGTTAACACTGTGACCTTATTTTTTCTCTGAGCCTAGACAAAATGATGCGGTGCTTTTGTTTTGTCCTACTTTATCATGGTCTTGGAGCAACTCTGAGTTGGTATTCTGAGACTGTTCATGTCCAACAGGAGAATAACATGGCCTAGTTGGATAAGTGTCCATAACACAGATAAGTATCTGGATGTCAGGGACAGGTTTTTCTTCCCCTTCTCAGGAAAAACCACCTGTAACATAAAGGGAAGAGGAAGCCTAAGGCAAGAAGAGCCTTCAGACTATGGTGCAGGTTGACACCAGTGAAAGGGAGGCCAAGGAAGATTTGGGCAAAGAAGCTCAGACAATAAGACAGCACCAAGAAGTCTTGGCCAGGCCAGTGGGAGCTCCAGAGCAAAGACTGCCCATGAGGAGTCCCATGTTGAGCAGGAATGACCTGGCTTCAGTACCCCACCTGTGTCTGATCACAGCCAGGGAGAGTAAAGAAGATGGAGTGGCCAGTAACCACCATGAGCACAGAGATGGTGGTATGGAAGGGGCAGGCTGAAAAAGGAGGAAGAGAAGGAGAGATGCTGGAGACTGTGAACGAGGGGCAGGGAGATAGGGCATCAGCTCAGGTACCGAAGGAATATTGAAGATGGGAGATGAAGAACTCTTGTGAGCCGCAGGGAATGATCCAGGAGACGGGGGATGTGGAAGACAGACACCACCCAAGGATTAAGCCCTAGAGAAGGTGACTGGCCTGGGGCCCAGAACCCTGGTGGAAAGGCTGGTCCCACACAGGGTAGGCACTTCAGGAGATGGAACAGGAAGGGAAAAAAGGAGACCCTGAAGATGTGGGTAGGTTTGTCCTTCTGGGACTGGAAAAGTAAGGGAAATCCTAGCTGATGGTTTCTTCTCACTGAAGACAGCAACTCAAGAGCGTTTTCGATGTTAATCACCAAGAGATTAAAATGATGTTCATAGCTAAGACTGAAAAGTTGTATTGACAGAAAACTCTGAATTCATAATAAAGAGATGGCAATAACTGGTACTTGCATGAATTCAAAATATTTTCACTAAGCACCAAATAGAATAGTTCCCAATCTTTTCACTAAGAACCTCTTTATTACTCAAAGACTGCCTAAAACTTAAGCAGTTTATTTAGGTTTTTAACCAAGAAATCAAAGCTGTTGGGATGCCTGGGTGGCTCAGTCGGTTAAGCGTCTGATTTTGGCTCGGGTCATGATCTTACATTTCGTGTCAGGCTCTGTACTGACAGCTCAGAACCTGGAGCCTGCTTCAGATTCTGTGTCTCCCCCTCTCATGCTCTGTCTCTCCCTCTCTCTCAAAAATAAACATTAAAAAAAAAAATTAAAAAGGGGCACCTGGGTGGCTCAGTTGGTTAGGTGGCCGACTTCGGCTCAGGTCATGATCTCATGGTTCATGGGTTCAAGCCCCGTGTCGGGCTCTGTGCTGACAGCTCGGAGCCTGGAGCCTGCTTCGAAATCTGTGACTCCCCCTCTCTCTGTGTCCCTTTCCCAGCTCATGCTCTGTCTCTGTCTCTTAAAAAATAAATAAATGTTAAAAAAAAATTTTTTTTTAATTAAAAAAAACAAAAAAGAAATCTAAAGCTGCCAATCAGAGCTTCGAATTGGCATGAAGTGACCAGGTTAACAACCCTGAGGTCATATATTGTGAGTAAAACCTTTTTTTAAAAGCTTTGTTTAACCTATACTGAGGGAATTTGTTAGCCTCAGGCTGTGTACCCCACACACGGGCACACAAACAAAAATGACTAAAAAGTATTACGCATAAAAAATAAATAATAAGTGGTCCCTGTACATTCAGAGAGGAACAATGCCTACTTCTAATGAGAGGCACTGAGACAGATGCAAATCACTAACCTCCGCAAGGAGAACCATGCAAGGTTGGTAGAGAGAGAGGTAGTCCTGTGTCTTGATGGGTGAGGCAGAAAGCATGCAGTGGCTTCAGGGACCAGATGGCATCAGACCAAACAACCATGAATGGATGGGTATCAGTGTTATATAGGGAGGGCCTTCAAGGCTGAAGGAAATAAAACACTTCAGGACACTGAGTCACAGAAGTATTGCCTGTTCGGAAGACAATAGAGCATCTGTTTTGGGTAAAGAGATGTAATCTGATTAGATTGTAAACAACGAGAAAGGAAAATCTCATCCAAGGAGCACCACACACAATGCCGGTCTGTATTTCTCAACGGCAGCTCAACAGAGAATCTCACTGGCCCATGTAACCAACAAGAGGGTAAAATGTCTTCCCAAATGCTGAGATCCCATGATCTTCGAAGATGGTGAGTCGCTGAGAGTCACCTGCAGCCCATTCTCCACCCCAAGACCCCAGTCCCTTGGAATCAATGTCACTCATTAGCAAGATCCTTCCTTAATGAGAAATTCTGCTACAAAAAAAAAACAGAAACAAAAACAACACAAGCAAACAAAACTGAAAGTGAAAAGAGATAACCAACCATAGCAAGCTTTAACCTCTCATACTGCGCGTATACCTCAACTGTTGTGCTGAGCACAAGGTCTACCCCCTTACTTAAAATGGATGCATCACTGCAGAACCTAACAATTTACCATATCACTGCTCTTGCTACACACCCCCACCCCAAAAGTGAAAAAACACCACACAAAATATAAACTTACCCCAAATAAAAGTCAACATCAACTTAAGGATTCTATGTATTAATACTACACTAACTTAGGATATGATAGTCCTTTCAACCTATTTACAAAATACCCTCATTTTGAGAGCTCTGGAAGCCTTATGGACATTGCTGCATTAGATTCCTCTTCTTGAGGTAATTCAAAGTCTTAAAATATGCAAATTTACCTATTTTACTATATTACCTTGAGGGGTAATTGTTATAAAAGGTCTACAACCAAAATCCTCATCCTCTGATTCTCAGATCAAATCATACAAACTTTTCCCTTCATATTATATAAGCTAATCTAAAATTGGAAACACAAAAAGACTTAGTCATAAAAAAAATACAAAGAAACATAAAAAGGAATCTGTAAGTGGCATCATATTAACAGCCTAAACTTTGCTAAAGACAAAAATTTACTTGATCTACCAAAACCATTTTATAAAGTACTCAAGAAAAGATGTTTATAAAACTAGGGGAACATTTTAGGTGAGACCATCAAACAAAAATCATCTCATTCTTTGGCAAAGAGTTCTTCCAAAATGTCACGTCCACAAGAAGTGATGTTTGTCAAAACTGTGCCTAGGCTGACTCACACCAGATCCCCTTCAGGCCCGCTTTGACTCAGCTTTGCTTCATGGGTGCAGGGATGTTAGCAGACGCCTGCTCGAGGTAGGCCAAGGAGCCCTGAGGGATTTCGGCTGGCTTTTTGTGCTGAGCGTTGATGTCCTCCAGCACCTGCTGCCAATGCCTCAGTTTTGTCAAGTGCTTCTGGACCAGAGCATCCTTCCGCTGCAATTCATTCCTTAGTTCTGAGACATCCTACAAACAAAGACGATTAAGTCAGGGCAAACTCATGAAAAATGAAAATAGTTCCTGATTAGGTAAGAGCACTAAGAAGTAAACTCAAAGAGAATCAATTCAACCTTTGTACATCCAACACTCTGCTTGGCTCCTCTATCCGAATAATACACAGCAACTCCTCTAATGGAAGATGCTGCGTAACGCTGGGAGCTTTTACTTTTCATTTCCTTTTAATAAGTAATACAGATGTTCCAATATTCCAAAGTACCAAAGGGCAGGCAGAGAAAATCAGGCTCTTTCCCAACCTGATCCCCAGGCACCCAGTATTTCTGTCCAAAGGTCACTGCTGAGAATCTGAAACATATGTTAACAACCGTTTAAAAGAGTCCACGCCACTATTCTATCAGTTTGGGCTGAAGTGTTAAAATCTCATCTTCAAGAGCTTTTTAAATGAATATCAGCATTGTAATTCTTTATGAAGGCCTGGCATTGAACACACCTATATTCTTAGTCAAGTACTCAAATCAGGAAATGCTCTGACATAATAAATTATAAGAGTATCATCTTATCATTCACATTCTCATCAGCTGATATCAATTAATAAAAAGAAGGTTTTCAATTAATTCAGCAGCTTGTGGGAGTAGTTACTTCAAACAGTACCAAAAAACAATCATGTCAATGTAGTGTTTCTCATCAGGGGCATGACTGGTCTCTTGGGCAAGACAATTCTCTCTTGCACACTGCATGGGGCAGGCTTTGGCCCAACACACTAAATGCCAATGAAGCTTCCCAGTCATCATGGCAACTCCAACACATTTCCAAATGCCCCAGTTTCAAACAACTGAGATAAATGAAACCCTGAGTCTCAAGGAACCTGGGACAGAACATTTAAGTTTTGATTCCTTGAACAAAACTTGAGCCCTTCCTGTGTGTAAGGCAGCTGGGGATACACACAAATCACAGTTTCTGTCCAAAATGAACTTATCATCTATATTAATGACTTTTCAACCTTTTTCAAGCAGCAGAAACTTTTCTTTAAGAGAAGTCGTCCAGCAAATGAAACTCTGTTTGAAGCCCAGCTTTCCACCTCCACCCCTGGCTCCACTACTTGCCCAACTTGTCGTGAACACTGACATCTAGCAACATGTGTATTCAATCTGTAAAGCCTACTATAACTCATGGGAAAAGGGTGTATCTCATTTAAAGCATAGATGGAATCCTGACCATATGTGCTCTTCCTGAAAGTTGAAGAGAAAGTTGAGTTCATACCTCTTTGATAACTTGCTCTGGTTTCTGGACAGATAACTGCAATCTTTTTTGTAGGAAAAAACATTCCGTCTGTCTTGCAATATCCAGAAATTTCTGGATACACTGATCAACACCTTATAAAAAAAGACCAAAATATTAAGAAAAACACTAGACACATATATCGTCCTCATAAATGAACAGTCAAAAATATCAAAACAGCACCTTCCCCAAGATGTAATCTGGAATTTTAATTCTGACAATAGAAATACTGACTCCCAACCCCCATGTGTTAACCAACATTAAATAGCAGATAATTTGCGTTTATATAAGGTTAATGAGACCTCAGCACAACACAAAAGTTCTTCTGAGGAAAGACAATCCTGACATCCAGCAATTAGAATCATGACTTCCAGTTAAAATGTAACATGTAAAATATAGTACAAAACAATCAGAAACAGTGGTTGCTTCTTGGGACAGAACTTGGGCAAAGTCAGGGAAACACAAGAGACTTTTCTCTGTAACACCTTCAAAAAATAATCAAAACTTATTTTTTTAAAAAAACAGCACGCATTGTTGGTTATTACTGTCCTATACAATATGGACAGCACATTATAACTAGCTCATTATGAGTGTGACATGTCAGTTGATAAACCGAACAAAGAACCAGCAGTATATAGAAATGACTGCATAAATCTCATTCCCTGGAAAAGTTCTCTAAGGATACAAACAAAACCGTAAAGTGTAAAATAAGCAATCAGGAATCTTGCTGAAGGCAAGAACGTGGTCTACAAAGAGTGAATTCTTACCAGTTCTAATTTCCTCCTGATCTGTGCCATTGACATAGTCCTGACTCACAAGAGAAGCAAAGCAAGCCTGTGTGATTCAAACATACAAGAAAAAAATGTCATTCACATGTCAAAAATATTACTTCAGAGTAACAAATAACTTCTCTTGAAGTTATTCAATGAGTTGACACAGTCTAGGTTTACACATTAGCTGACAAGATATCCTGCTAATGAAATAACTTGGTAAACTAAGTCCATGAGACACATGGAGGGAGAGCTTCCAAATGAGGCAGCTGGTATTTGCAAGCATCACGACCTGGCCTCTCTCCTGCCACTCGCCCCTTTCACCAGGATCCCATTCCATACCAGAGCCTGGGCGCCTGGTCCAACTCCACTTAAAGCCCCTCCCTCTGATGCTTACATGAATTGTACCATCACCCTATTAGGGCTCAGATAAATCATTACCTCCTCAGAGAGGCCATCTCTCTCTACTCTTTTGAAATGGCTTGCTCTATCCTCATGCCTACCTTTATTGTTTTTCACGCAGTTAACTGACATCATTCCATTCTTCTAGTCCATTATCAGTTGTCCCCTGCCAGCAGGTGGGAATTCTGCATATCTTGTTCTCATACTCCTAGAGCAGGAATACTGCTCGGCACTAAGTGGGTGCTCACTAAATACACGTTAATGACAGACGGGACAACCTAAGAGCTTGCTATCACATGGGTAAACAAGTCCGAGAGAATTTCTCTCAAGGGGCACCGATCTAGAGGAATACATGATTCAGCCAAGCACTTCTGTGCACAGGAAACCGTCAGGAAATGCATAAAGAAGGTCTATCACAGGGCAGTGGGATCAGAAAGAGAATGGGAGAGCTGGTGGGGAGCAGTGGGCAGAAAGGAAGCCTCAGGGCGTCTGGGTGGCTCAGTCAGTTAAGCATCTGACTCCTGATTTCTGCACATGTCATGATCTCGCAGTTCTAGAGATGGAGCCCGGTGGGCAGCTCTGTGCCAGCAGCACAGAGCCTGCTTGAGATTCTGTCTCCCTCTCTCTCTGTCCCTCCCCCCGCTTGTGCCTTCTTTCTCAAAATAAATAAATGGAAGGAAGGAAGGAAGGAAGGAAGGAAGGAAGGAAGGAAGGAAGGAAGGAAGGAAGGAGAGAAGGAAACCTCAGGAAAGCACAGCCCCACCAGCAGTGAGCAAAGTACACTGGTGTGAGGCAGGCATATCTGGGCCCAAATTTAGGCCATCACACCCACATGTGAGGGCCCTTCGGGAAGCAACAAATTCTGCTGCCAGAAGTTTCCCCTATTTGATTTATAGAGAAAAGTCACAGGACTCCTCCTGGGAAATCCCTGTAACACCTCAAGAAATCCGAAAAACAAATTGCCCATTCTGTGTATTACGTGGAAAGATAACGCCTGTTGGATTTGGGATATGACTAGGGCACATCTACTCTGTGAAACCTGTGGGTACTGGAAAACATCCCACCCAGGAGGCCAACCAGGCAAACCAATCAACAATGCTGCTCCCTCACAACCAGCAGGGCCACCAGGCATAGTGAAATTTGATCTCAGGAATTTTCGCTCCCTCTTCCCTCTTTAAAAAAAAATAAAGGAAGAAGAAATCAGGGGCCCCTGGATGGCTCAGTTGGTTAAACATCAGACTTGGGCTCAGGTCACGATCTCGTGGTTTGTGAGTTTGAGTCCCGACATGGGGTCTCTACTGTCAGCATGGAGCCTGCTTCAGATCCTCTGTCCCCCTCTCTCTCCCCTGCTCTCACGCTCTCAAAAATAAACATTAAAAAAATTTTTTAAATTCTATATACAGGTCTTCATAGACAGGTGAGCAGTTGTATGGAGAAATGTGTGGTAGTCTATAAAAAGAGTATGCTTGGGGCGCCTGGGTGGCTCAGTCAGTTGAGTGTCCCACTTCAGCTCAGGTCATGGTCTCAGAGTTCATGGGTTTGAGCCCTGCATCTGGCTCTGTGCTGACAGCTCAGGGCCTGGAGTCTCCTTCGGATTCTGTGTCTCCCTCTCTCTCTGCCCCTCCTCCACTCACACTGTGTGTCTGTCTCTCTCTCAAAAATAAACATTAAAAAATTTTTAAAAATAATTAAAAAAAAAGAATATGCTTCTTAGAAGTATGCATAGGGAGGCACCTGGGTGGCTCAGTCAGTTGAATGTCTGTCCAACTTTTGGTTTCAGCTCAGGTCATGATCTCAGGGTTTGCGGGTTTGAGCCCTGCATCAAGCTCTGCACTGACAGCACAGAGCCTGCTTAGGATTCTCTCTCCTTTCACTGCCCCTCCCCCATGTGCATGCATGCTCTCTTTCTCTCTCAAAATAAATAAACTTAAAAAAAAAAACAAAAACGTTAGAAGTATGCGTAGGATGGACAGTAGGGAGGCCCAAGTAATAGTCCTCATTTGCACAAGCCAAGGGGTTGGCTTTAAAAGTATCTGAGCCTCAGTTTCTCCATTCATAAAAGGAGATGGTCTCAAGACTTCCCCACAAGAATGCATGATCTCAACAAACTCATTACATTGAGCATTTACTGAGCAACTAGAAATGAGAAAGCTAGAGACCCAGCGAGCCCCCAAATAGAAATGAAAAGTGGGCAAGCAGGTGCCATGAACCACTGCAGGTTACAAAACAGAGGCCCACACAGACCACAGTGAAATGAAAAGGAAATGAAATGTGGCCTTGAGCAAAGTCCTGAGAAGACCAGATGGGTGATCATGCAGCAGCAGAAGAGCCAGCCCAGGTCGCAACCACTCACTCCCTTTCAGCTGGCTTTGTCTGAGCAGCCCTTTTGGGTTTCACATTCCCTGGGAAGTGCTCAGCAGCCACACCATGTGTGCTCTCAGATACCCTGGTTTTCTTCTACCAGAGCAGTGATCCCCAACACAGCAACTGCCTGCCACTCATCTGTTTCTTCCACCCGGCTGTCTTGAGTTCCTTGATGGCAAGGGACTGTTTTCTCTGCATTCTAAGCACCAAAGACAGGGCCACAACAGGCTCCTTCACTGTTTGACAATATCAAAACTATTGCTACCTGCTGCCATTGTATTAGCACTGATGGGAGAAAAAGGACAGATCCATTGGGAAGTGATGCGACTTGGGAGAAGGCAAACCCAAAGGAAAACAAACAGCACATGCAGAAGGGTCTTATGTGCCTAGAAGGAAGAGAAAATTGGAATGAAGCAGAAAGCTGAACATGCAGAGCTGGGAAGACCACAGTAACCTTTTGGCTTTAACTCAAGAGTGACAGCATTAGGACACTGGTGGTTGGCTCTGGCCAAGACATCTACAGGGCCGGTCTTTCAACAAGCTCTCATGACTGACCGCCACCTCACCTCAACGCTAAATGCTGTCGCTTACCAAACCCTTCCTTTCTGGCTTGGTACCACTGCAAAAGCATCTCATTCTCCTCCCAGATAGATTTGGATATCCTTCAAATCAGTTCCTATCTCCAACCTTTTCAATGTACACTCCCAGTAAAAACATTTTTTGCCCATGCAGCCCCAGTAACAGTCATTTACAAACCATATTCATGTTCTACTCTGCTATTACACATAGTATAATAAAACTCACGACTAGGATTTAAAATGTGGGAAAGGGGCCTGCACTTTCAAGTTGATTTCCGCACAATAATGGCTCATCTTTCACTTAGGGACCACTTTGGAAACCATCTTTTAAGCACTAACTTATTTTACCTCCTTTGTCTACTACCACTTCCATTTTCCAACTTCTAGAGCAGAACTGGTTTGGGTCATCCCTGCCTCCCTCGCTCCCTAACCTCCCCAGCTTGCTTTCCTTCTCCCCGCCTCTCCTAGTACCAACTTCCAACACAGCAACTTTTACGTAAGTCCATTTCATCTCCAAGAGTCCATTACTTCAGGGCCGTTTTAAGGTGCAGCCCAGCGGAAAGGAACAGGACGTAGCAGTGTGTCGTTACCCTTCGATCCACCAAGGCACCCTACACGCAGGGATGCGGGGAAGAGCTCAGGGATGGGGCCAAGAAAGAGTAAAACGGGAACCACCAACTGGGAACCTAGAAGGGTCCAAGTGCTGGGGGGTGGGCAACAAACAGAAGTCCACGTGCTTCCAGAAACAAAGTCTGGGTCTCGCCAGCAGACCTGCGCACACTTCCGGCCACCACTCAAAGTGGAGATTAAAGCAAGTAACTTATGTTCTCTGAGCTCTTCCGCGATCTGGAAGCCTGTCATGAGCATCACTGAAAGGGGCAAACTGCCCAGGTGCAGCTTAGGGTTCAGGTAAGAAAGGAGGCTGGGAACGGACGCAGTCTCATCTACCTCAAAAGAGAGACTCCAACTCGTCCAACGTACTGTTGCCAGTTAGAAGTTCTCGGAGGCCTGGCGCTGCCTGGAAGAAGCGAAGCCTGGCCCCTGAGTCTCCGGGATGTCCAGGCGGTCCGGAGAACATACCTCCCAGCGGCGCCGCCATTTCTGAAAGGGTGGGCAAGAGGCCCACTGCGCCTGCGCAGAGCTGGCGCCCGCGGGTCACGGGGCACGGTCACGACACCGCAGCCGCCGCAGGCTTCTGTTCAGCTCCAGGGAAACCGTGGGTTTGGTGGCATCACTTTTCTCCTCGGCCAGTAGGCAGCCAGACTTTAGTGACCTTAACTGAAAGCTTTGACCGGATTTGACGCAGTTGTGGGAGTGGAGGATTCAGTGACTACGATGGAGCGAGCCCTTCTCCAGGAGTCAGGATGCTCCTGTGCAAATCCCGGCTTGCCCTTAAGATTTGGAAGGACTTTGACCAAAGCTGCTCTCTACGGGCTCAGGTCACCCCGTTGGTAAGAAGGAGGGAGGCGCCCCTTATTCACAGTTACCGAACGTTTACTGTGTACCTATGACTAATCTACAGTGTGGGCAGAGCAGAACAAAAGTGGCAAAGTTACCCCTACATTCTCTGTGCGGAAGACCGGTAACAAAACATTAACATTGTTCAGGCTCCCTGTGTGCCTGGCATTGTTCACCTTAGATATGTATAGTTAATTAAAGCCACTATGCTAAATATCTTTCAGTAACTTGCTTTTTAACAATTGTTTATCTTTTCAGAAGC